TGGCTCTGGGTGTCAGGGTGTATATATTTTTTTACCAATGTATGTTATGGAATTTTCTTAATACTTATTTARATTAATTTCAAGTCATTTGAATAATCATACTACTAATCCATTCACATTTCACATTGTTTTCCAGTAGGTAAAATGTTATTGACCTTATTAAGTTATTACTTTATGTCATAATAGCAGGTAATACTAAGTAGTTTATTATATAAGAAATAATATTTCAATAGAAAATTACTAATCTTAATGACTTAATGTATTCAGGTACCTATTACTTGTTTTAAACTTTTAGTCAAAAATTAATTCAACCCATCGCATTACTACAGTTAATAGAAAAATACATTTATAATAAAAAGGTTGGTAAACGGTTATAGTAACTAGTAATATAAGCTGATAAATTGTCTCTGCTCAGAATTAGTTAACGTTAGGTTTATAATTTAATTTACATTTAATACATTCGTTACATTATCCATTACAATAATGAGGTAGGTACASTTGACATTTACTAAACAGAAGAGCAGCTACTCCGGGTTTTTACCTTACATCACAAAAATAAAAAATGTATTCACTAAAAAATACTGCAATGTCCTCAAAGCCTCAAAATATGTCCACTGTCCATCAATTTTTTGTTTTTTCATCAACATTGTTAATCGTAATTTATATTAGCATAGTAGAGGTAGTACAACAAGAAAAAACAAAAAAAATATGCAAATGCATGAATAAAGGATTGAATAAATTAGCTTCCTCTGCCATGGTGTCRAACCATGCCTATAATAATGTTTGATTTACCTATATAGGTACCTATCAATAATCAACCTACTATACCGAGTTAATCATTTAATTGTGATTACAATAATTATTTTCACAGAAACAATATCAAGTGGATGTACCTAAATTAAATTCTACTRCATTGTGGTACATTGGTCTTACATATACCACTCAATTACACAAACAATTTAATAATCTTCAGCCAACTGTTTGGCTGAGTAATACAAAAACCAAACTTAGTATACCTCTTTTGGATAATGAAGGATGGGTAATATTTAATCTTCAATCAACAGGTGAAAATTTATTTAATACCTATATGTATACTGAATCTATTTTTTAGATCACTTTCATTAAAATAAATGTTTATATTTCTTTAAAGGTTTCTATAGAGTTAATTATGATATTAAAAACTGGAATCGGCTAATTGCCGAACTGAAATCTAACCCAAAAACAATACACGTTCTCAACAGAGCACAACTGATTGATGATTCATTCAACTTAGCAAGAGCAGGCGAATTACCCTACTTTATACCATTCACTTTAGTATCTTATTTACAGAAAGAAGATGATTTTATTCCATGGTATTCGGTGTTAAATAGCATGTCATACATTGTAGAAAGATTAAGACGCTGTTCACATACAGGAGCTCAAGTACAAGTAATATAACTTTTTAGTTTTTTTAAATCATATTTTTTAAATATATTAATTCTAATGAAAAATATGAAAATCTAAGGATTTTGCAAAAACATATGCGAAAATAGCATATGAAAAAGTCAGTGACCAATACGAGAAAAATGACGGTAAACATTTGACAAAGACTAGTATGCAAGCATTCTCAAATTGGGCATGCAAATTAGATGTTGAACCATGTGTGGAATCAGCTTTAAACTATTTTAACGCGTGGGAAAAAAATGAAACTGAGTAATTTATAAATTGAATAATAGGTACTTACAATCATAATTTGTTTAAAATTAATTTTTACTTTCAATAGAATACCGCCAGATGTAAAAGAAGCAGCCCTCTGTAGTGGTATCAAAAATGGAACTACCGAAACATGGAATAAAGTTTTTGAATTATTTAAAAAAACATCATCAACCTCCGAAAGACAAGCGTCGTTATTAGCATTGGCTTGCAGCACAAATAGCACAATATTATCCCAGTAAATATTAATTTAAAAAAAATTATAAGATGTCTAACCCTAGTATAAAAAATAATAACCTTTGTATTTTAGGTATTTAAACCTTTTACTTGATCATAATTGTCCAATACGCCCACAAGACTACAAAACTATGTTTAAATCACTGACATCAACCCCAGTTGGTATTAATGTAACAACCGACTTTTTACAAAACAATATCAACAAATCTCTAAGTAGTATGTGGGAAGGTGAAGAAACGATTATGCTTATGTACTCATATTTGGCTTCAAGCGTTGCAACAGGGAAGGAAATTAATGAGGTATATTAGATATGTATAAAGTATTAAGCAACCATAATGTTACCTTAATGACAAAATAATTAGATACAATTTTATGTCCCATGAGATATGAAGCATTTTATTATTATGATTATTTTTCTAGATAAATGCAATCAGAAATTTAACCTATTTATCACCAACATTGAAAGAATCGTTTGATAATTCATACAAGGAAGTAGAACTAAATTCTGCTTATTTTGAAAGAAGTCATCCACTTCTGCACGAATGGTTTGATCCATCCAGTTCAACTACCACACCCACATCCAGTGCTATTTCAAACTCATACCACTACATTAATGTTATTATTTTATCTTTGCTATTTGTAACAACACTAGTAAATATAAATTATTTTAATGTAATACAATAACTAACAGTGTATTTATTAGTTATTAATTGTTTATTGATATATCATTTGTATTAACAAAAATTTCAAAAAATAACAATACAAGTCATTAATTTTTAATTTGTAGATTAAATTATTTCCCAAAGTTTTAAACTAATATCAATATCTTTCAATATTTGTTTATTACCATCATCATCATCATCGTCATTATCATCATTTTCATTGTGCCTCTGACCAGATGCTGTTGCTAATAAAGGAAGAGTTGGATGCAAACTGAAAATAGTTTTAAAGTGTTATTAATTAATAGCAAAATACAATAAGGTTATTTTTTTCTACCTAAAACATTTATTAACAAAATTCTTTTGAAAATTAAATTAAAATGAGTGTTCTATATATATATATATATATATATAAATGTAATAGTTATTGTTTATTAGTACTTATTACTAGAAACAGTAGAAACTACATATTATATTTTCATATAGTTTGATTATTACTAACCTGACACCATTGACACAATCATTATGAACTGAAATTTTAGAATTTAAAGGAAGAACACTTTCTACGCCATCAGACTTTTCAATATTGTGGTCTAATTTCCAAGTACTAATTTCACCTGTACAATTACCTAAACATTTTAATATTAGTGATATTATTGATATTTTACAATTGGTAAGACTTATAAGTAATTTAGACAAATAAATCAAAATATATAGGAATAAATTACTGAAATATTGAGTTTAATAATCAATACAAAGGCAAATCACTTTATTTATGAATAATTATTTTAAAATAAAATGGTTTTACCTGAAACTAAATATTGCCCATCTGATGAAATGTCAAAATAAATTCTTTGATTAGTAGTCACTGTTCTTTCAACAGAATATAGAGTTTGACCTACATTTCTTAAATCCCAACATACAATATCATTGTCACCTTTTCTACTTCCCGAATATAATTTCAACCCATCAGGTGAAAATTGTAATTGGGTAATTCCTGACTTATGTCCCCTTAATATGTACATCAGTTGATTACCACCATATATACCTAGGCAAAGTCTTTTGTTAAATACACAATATAAAGTTATAATAATTTCAAAGAAGAACTCACCAATATCTTTACTATATGTACCAACAGCAAAAATACTTTTGTCTACTGGATTCATAGCTATGGTCGATATGATTGATCTATGCAAATCTGCCTTAGTAGGAATTTCAATAAATTCACGTCCAGGACGGTCTGTACGAAATATATTTAATTTTCCATAACTGCCACAGTAAATTTCTTCTCCAGACCAATTAAAGCATAATGAATTAACATGTGCAACTTCATCAACACTGTTGAAAAATAAATATTATGAAAATAAATATTTAGATAAAATTGGTCCAAATTCATATTTTTAAATAATGAGGACATTACAACGGTAATATGATGATTCATAAGTTTTAAATTAATTATATAAGTCTTACTAGCTTTTGAAGGAAACAATATTTTAATTAAGGGGATTGGAAGCGGTGATTTTCTGTTTTTGTCTAACACATGTATATTAAAAATATGCTTCGACCGATGCAAAGTAAACTTGTTTACCAATTCAAAAATCTTTACATATTTTAAATCGAGCAACTAGAAGTACTTTAATTTTTATTAGGCTTATTGTATGTTCCACGTGTGTTAGACAAAGACAGAAAATCACCGCGTCCAATCGTCTTGAGTAGAAAATTATCTACAAGCGACATGTAAATTTTATAAAATATTAAATGTAGGTATAAGTAAAATGTATTAATATATATAAACAAATAAACATACTGATCATATACTCTATATGTTGCTTCTAATTGTCCATCTACAGCATTCCAGAGGTGAATAGGTGATCGACTGCTAGTACTTAAAATTCTGAAAATATCATGACGTTAATCATTGATGTTGCATTTCATATTAATTGATTTAATATTTTAGTTTGTATACATTTACTAACAACTTTAAGTTATCATTATTTTGCATGGTATTAGGGTACCATACATAATCGTATATAGTACCACCTTCCTTTATCTCATTAATTCTATGAAGATGTTTTTTACATTGATCTGTTTCGTCAGTTTCGATATTGAAAATTCGAAGTCTTCTGTCTTCGCTATTTGTTAAAATACTCAGACCATCAGTTGACCTTTTGAAATAATAAATTATATTTAAAAAAGTATATTATTAACAAAACTATTGACAGTTTAATTGTTGCACCATTTRCATCCTTTCAAACATTGTTGAAATTCTTTGTCATTCACGAGGAAATCATCAGAGCATGAACAAATGAGTTGTAAATCCTTAAAATAAATAGGTTGATTGAATTCCATAATTTTTTCTTGAGTATCCATCAATGAGTGTGTAGTCTATATTCAACAGTTTAATTAATATTGTACCTATAATATAATTAATATTATATGAAATTTAGTCTACTATTTATTTATGAATTCAATAATAAACAATAAAATTTCAGGTGTACATTTTTCATAGCAATAATAATTTTTTCTTGAGTATCCATCAATGAGTGTGTAGTCTATATTCAACAGTTTAATTAATATTGTACCTATAATATAATTAATATTATATGAAATTTAGTCTACTATTTATTTATGAATTCAATAATAAACAATAAAATTTCAGGTGTTTAGTATACAAATCTCAAATTTAAAAAAATTATTATTGCTATGAAAAATGTACACTTTAAATTTTATTAAAAATAAAACTCATTGATAAGTAACATTTTTTCTTTCACTTTTACAATAAATATTAAATTGTAATTTATGTTTCGACATAAAAATGACAAGTGCTTAAAAAATATAAGATCATGAAGTACAGATATTGTTTTATGTTGGAATTTGCCGCAAAAGAAAAAATTTAACTGGAAAATTTTCAAAACGAAATGTCGATTATAGTGATAATGGCTGTGGTTTGAAGTGATAGCAATGGTTCTATTATCTATAGAACATCAGTAAATTATTTACAATCCGAGTCCCCTTTTTATCAACTAAGATCATGATATAGGTAGGTACTATGGATCTACGCCAAGTTGTAAACTTGTAACCACGATGTTCAGAAAATCTTCTCTATATCGTAGTTGTAACATAACTGTTATTGATGAATCTGAGCAAAAATTGGTATTATTATTTTTATATTGTTAAAAAATTATTAGTTATTAGWTTTGTTATTATTTAATCATTTTTATTAGTTGGCAATGTAAATCACTATTAATTTGTCGTGTATAATATTAAACGGCAACAAATAATTATCACCACTGTTTATCTTGCTGTGTTTTCATGCAAATTGATGTGTCTCACTACTTTTTTAGTTGGCGACTCGTGAGTGAAAAATTAAAAAATGCATGACAAGTTCAAAAACAATATGTACACCTTGATTTGTATTACAATTTTTTCACTTTCGACCCCCAAAGTATACCAACTATATTTAATATCACGATAAGTACGACTTATAATAAGCCTTGTATTAAATTTTAAAGATTCTTTGGTCAGCCAAATTTTTTTTTAGGCATTTCAATAAAAAAATCTTAGAAAAATTGAAAATTTCAACTGTTTATAAATAGCTTAAAGTCAAAATATTTTGAAAATTTAATCGTAAATAGATAACGCTAATATAAATATTTGGTAAAAAGTTCAAATATTTATGATGATTTGTTTTTGAGTTATAGCAAAAAAAAAATCAATTTTGTAAAAATTTCCGTTTTTGTTACTTTTTTAGGATTTTTCTTGACGCTCTTAAAAACAAAGATATTTTTACTTTTGACCCCCTCCCCACTACTCCCAACACCAAAAGTACTAACTAGATCAGTGTTTCTCAACCTTTTTTAAGTTACCGCCCCCTTGAGTGTCAAAAATTTTTTTAACGGCCCCTACAATGTGAGAATTCTATAATAAGGGTTAGGTTAAGGGTATTTGGAAAATTTAAAAGAAAAAATTGAAATTATCTAATAACTCATGTTTTTATTTATTTTTTATATTTGATATATTTTTTATTTATAGTTCTAGTATTATGGTAAGTTATTGTGTATTGCATAGATTGAGTAGTGACTGATAGTTATTATATGGATTATCAAGTATGAATTATTTTTAGGTCACACCGACACCATCTACAACGTTTTTGCGTGAACCGTTTGCCGCCCCTCTACCACCCAAAATTAGTTCACCGCCCCCCTACCACCCAAAACTAGTTCATTGCCCCTCGGTGACACTTTACCGCCCACTGGGGGGCGATATTGCCCCCGTTGAGAACCACTGAACTAGATGAATTTTCTCTTTCAAAGAGGGGCTGAAGTCAAAAATCAAAGCATTATTTCTACCTCTGAAACGTGATAACAGACACAAAAAAATGATAAAACAAAAAATAAATAATAACATACCTACATATCATTGTAAAATCTAAAGTCAATATTATAACTAACTTTATTTTAATAATTATAGACATTAATCATTAATTGAATAAAACACATAGATATAATATATAAATTAAGGTAAAGGAAAAAATTTAAATTCCAATTAGTTATACAATCAACGCCCGTACCAATCATGCGCTCGGAGGAGGGGGCTAAACCTTCAAAACTCTCCCCTGTATACGCCAGCGTCTTTATTGGAAACATGAATGTCTCTTAGTCATAGTTCAATACAACACTTTGCAATATTTCTTCTAATTCTTGTAAATTTCTCTACCGTTTTAGCTGGAAGTAAAGACCATGCAATATTTAAGTTTGCAGTTAGGTTTGTGATATTTGCATAATAAAAAAGCTGTTTTGTATGGGACTCTGAAAAAGGTAATTCTTAAATGGTATGAAACTTAAAAACTCATAAGTATTTGAAATATATAGACCTTTTTATGTATTCATCAAATATCAAAATTTTAATAAATTAAAATTGCATATTAAAATGGAAAAGAGAATCGCGTGCGTTTGGTGATTATGATACTCCATCTATATACAATTTGGTATAATAATATTCAATATCCATCACATAATATTATGAATTTATGACTAACGCTCGATCGTAAATTCTTAACCGAATCCGTATATACTGCGCAGCTCTACTATATTTTTACCGCTCACTACAGTTTTTTACTACTACTCAGAGTTCAGACAGTGTAATACTATACAACAGAACACAGTTCCCATACTATAAATATATAATCAACATAATATACTAGAATATCATACGACAATTCGTTTTTAGTATAACTGGAATAGGTTTGCAGATATTATATTTAATATTTTGTTTGAAAATGGGAAATAACGTATTTTTTAAAGTTTTATTATTTTGCATTACATTAATCATCTTATGCGTCTTCAACATATCATCACAACAAGTGATAAAAAATCTTGGCTTGAACGAAGGTACGTCAATTTACTCTACACATATAGATTATTGATAAAAGTACAGCATTTCTAAATTAGTTTAAACATAACAAATCATACCAAAACAAGATTCAAAGTTACTAGCATATTGTTCTTTTTTGAAACAGATTGAATAAAAAAAAAAATTACTTTAGTTATTATATTTTATTTTAGAACCATAAAATATATTTATACAACAATATAAGTTTTATTTATTTACTCTTTAATACTATATTTAAGAATATTCAATCAACAGATTTAAGTCATAAAATTTAAATGCAAGTTCGTATTGTAAATAACTTATATTTTAAATAGGTACTGTTATAATAAAAAAAATCGTGCCTATGTATTTTTAATATTTTTAAACTGCTATTGTAACAATGTGTTAGGAGCCTTGTATTACATTTTCAAGCTTTTCTACCCAATAAATTTTTATCAATATTTATTTTAAAAAACCTAATAATGATCGAAAATTGCATAAGTCTATGAATAGTTCAACTTAAATTGAAATTATTATTATTTATTCCGATTATTTAGAAAAATATTGAGAATTTTTTACTTTTTACCCGCCAAAGTACGAAATAAATTCATTTTCTGATATAACAAGGACACAAGGTACTGAAGTCGAAAATCAAAGCATTTTTACTTCTCCAAAATGCGATGATAGACACAAAAAAATTTGTTTTTTTACAACACACATCATGGTAAAATCAATAGGTACATTCCTCGCTCCCTTCAGAATCTAAAATATAGATTTATATCTTATATTTTTAGCTTAAATGAATATTTCTTTTAGGTCAGATATGTCGAAAAGCCTTAAGACCTGATCAAGAACATGTGTGCATGAATACAAATGACTGCAAAGTTTTTAAACAAAGTCTAAAAACTCGTAATTATCTTGATATATGTAAGTTCGTTGGTTTACAACCGATAGTTTGCTGTCCGGTAACAAATTATAAAGATTTGATTGAAATACCAGAAATTAAAAATGAAAGTCCAAAATCTGCCGATGAAAGTATGAACCAGCAGTACAAAATTTATTTTATTTATTTATATAAAATATGTTATATATATCTATAATACCTACGTAACTTGCGTATATCTGAATTAGATATAATTATAAGTATTATTGTTTACAAAATTTTTTAATTTTGTAAAAAAATTGTTTTCATACCTATACGTCGTTATAAGTATTGCATCAATAATATTATATTTATATATATTTTTTTTCTGCTCGTGGGCCATTATTTCACCTAAAATAAAAGATTCTAAGAAAAGTAATGAATAAAAATGAATTTTTCACTGTAGTGTTTTTTGTCACTATTTGAGTCAATAAAATTGATTCAATCTTCAGTTTTGAGGGTATCTACTGATTTCAGGTAAACAATTTAAAGTAAAAAATGTCCAACACTTATTTTTCAAAATCAATTGAGTTTGCTAATTATTTTTTAAAATTGACAATATCATACAAAATAATTTTTCTTTTTTTAGTAACATTTGATGTCCAGATATCGTCAAAATTTGATATTTAAATATTAAAGCCTAAAAATAACAATTTTAATTCTAACTGATTCTTGGTATTTATTGAAATATTCACTTATAATCATACTTTTACATTTTATCAATCGAATAATTTACAGAATGTGATCAATATAGTAGAATAAATGAAAAATCCAAATTATCAGAGGAAGGTGTATTTCATCCTGCAGCCGTAGGAGGTATAAAGGCAGAAAAACTAGAGTTTCCACACATGGTAGTATTATTGAACTATATGATCATAGTCAAGATGGGTATTGTGTAATATAGTTTATTTTTGTTAATGTATAACTATAGGCGCTGTTAGGTTATGGTGAAACCACAACAAATGGAGACGATTGGAGATGCGGAGGTTCACTAATAAGTGAAAGGTGGATATTGACTGCAGCGCACTGTCAAGAAAGTTCTGGGTAAATCGTACGATAAGAATTAAATACTAGTTAAATTAAATCCAACGGCGTGTGATATATGTTTTTATCATGGAAATAMATTTMTTTTGATTTTAAGGATAAAAGCTCGTTGGGCCCGCTTAGGAGTCTTAGAAAGAGTCGTTAATGAAGACAACGCAGTTCAGCCAAAGGACTATCGAATAGTGGAGCATGTAATACATCCTGAATATAAACCACCTTCGTTGTACAACGATATAGCTCTATTCCGATTGGAAAGAGATGTTGTATTTTCCGAAGATGTGCGACCGATTTGTCTTAACACGGAAACGGACCTATCCTTAACACCGTTAAAACAAATAGCTACTGGCTGGGGGCGAATTTCAACGGGTCAGTTTAAATAAATATCTAAAAAAAACTAGAAGATAGAAAAGTAAACGTTTTTCACAATTTTCAGCCGGGCCAACTAGCGACAATTTGTTAAAAGTAGATTTGGATATTTTTCCGACAAATCAGTGCAATGAAAGTTATATTTCAAATACTCATCAATTACAATTCGGTATATTACCAGACAGGATGATATGTGCTGGTTCGTTTGATGGTGAAAAAGACACTTGCTCAGTACGAACTAGGAATATTATATTGCTGCTTTGTATAAATTTAACTAATTAAATTATATAAAAATTACTTTAGGGCGATTCGGGAGGTCCACTTCAAATAAAAAGTGCTGAATACACTAACATGTATACACAATACGGGATTACGTCGTTTGGAAAATTTTGTGCTGACAAGGATACCCCCGGAATTTATACTAGGGTGGCTAAATATATTTCATGGATCGAAGAAATAGCATTTTCAAATAACTGAAGATGATAAAATTAATTTATACAAATTAACAAAATTTAATTTAATTTAAAAAACAAATTTATATTCAATATTGTATAACAATTATATATTTATATATTGTTGCATTGCTAACTTCCACTAACCTATTTTAAATAATATGCCTTCTTCAGAAGTAAGTTTATCTTTTTGGCATTAATATTGATGATTTTAAAATCTCAATTATTTAAATATTTTCAATCATTGATTTAAGCTTCAGTAGATCAATGTTAAAGGCATTTATAGAAATTGAAAAGAAATTACAATTTAAGAATACTTTAATTTGAATACTAACTCGTTATTTAGGCGAGCTATAAGTCTAGATTAGCCCTAGACAGAAATACAGTTTTCTTAAATTATACTTAATATAGCTACTATAGTACCATCTTAGTTATTCCATTAAATGTATATAAAATACGTGAAATTTATGTTTTGAAAAACCCAACAATAAAAATGAGTAATGTTAATTTTTTATTAAACCCGTTTTCTACTCACACATCTGCTATAATTGCAATATTATATTTCTAAACGCATGTAGTATTGTAGTATTCTCGTGTTTTTATTAAAATACATAAAACGTTGAACTTCCAGTTTGCAAATGAAATATCTTTGATCATATTGATAATTTATGTATAAGTTACCTAGGTATAGGTATAACTGCTTTGTTCAATACTACAATATACAAGTAGAATAAAGCTTATTGTGTTTTATTCCTATATTATTATGAATTCAAACACTGTAATAAAAACAGTTTATAATTACAAATATAATATAATACAAGGAATTCGGATTCATCATGAATATTGGTGATGTTATAAATGCAGAAAAATACAATAATAAATTATTATAGTAACTTTGATTTTCAGTTATATAATTACTTACTTAAATTTACCTATACTAGAAAGCAGAAACTTTTAATTCGTTTTAAATTTAATTCTAAACACCATGGGACAAACTTGGGGACAACATAGGCCTTTATGTGAATTTTTTGTTTTATTTTGTTTTAGCGATACAAAATCATTTCACATTAAACTATATAGTTAAACGTTGTATCTATCAATATTAGATTACCTGAAAATAGATCTATCATTATATAAATACTCATATAATTGTTATCGATGGGAGACTACCAGACCACCTATAAATTAATTGATTGTTTTCAATATTTTTATAGTCTTATTGAATCAAAATTCTCGTTACTTCATTATCACTATATTCCTCTCAAGCAATATCTGAATTCTATCCCGAAGGAAAATCCCTCCCTGCAGTTAGGAATCACATTATTAATTATCATTTATTCTGAAGCAAGATGTATTTTTTTACCTTAAGATTAATAACCTGTTTGGTCCGAATCAGTACTTAATATTATTTTTAATCTCTAACCTTGGTACTGTCATATATATATAATAAATGCAAACATAAAATACATAAATTAATCTCCTTTATAATATTTAAAATGTGGTGGGATAAACAAGTCAAACGTTTAACTTATTCATATTATCATAGCCACATCAGTTCGTTACAATAACAACAAMAATACAAAAATATGTATTTTAAAATTAAATTTTGCTTATACTTTAAAATCTTATTGGCTTTAATAATATGTCTATTGATTTCTGAACACAAAGCAAATATACTTAATTTATATGAAGGTGAGTTTAAAATGTTTACATTTAAATAAGTCATAAAGTGTAAATAGTATAGGCCCAAGTGTACAACAATTCATTGTTAAGCTTTAAAAAGTTAATAATTATAATATTCAATACTCAAGTTGTTGAGTTAACTACGTAAATACTATTTTTATCTGATTATGGACTTTTCCATTTTTTTCTTTATGTTTCTGATATTTCTATGAGCTTAAGTAAACATTTAAATCAATTGATTTTTAGTTAAATTGAAAATTAACTACATAATTATAAATATTTACTAATAACTGATTATAATATAACTGATAAAACAATATTATATTAGTATTGTTACTATAATTGGTAAATACTAAATAGATACCTAGATCAAATAATTTAGAAAGGCGACAATGACAAATAAGCACTAAATCATTGTTAATCATCTTATTTTATATTAAACTTCACTATTATTTTTTCTGTTTTTTGTAATCATGACATTTTACCCTATTTATTACTTTTATATACATTTAAGTTTTAACGTCAAAATGTATACATCTAAATCACAAAACATATTTTTTTTTAAATGTAAAAAATATAATTATATTTATACTGATTCAGTATAAACTCAGTATTACTGATGCATATTGCATACCTCCTATTGCATATATAACATGTTTATAATGTATACTTAATTAATACGAAGTTTTTTTTATGCTCTTAAATTACATAGGTGACGTATGTCAGTTAGGCAAGGACAATTCTATAAATCATGTCTGCAAACAACCAGAAAATTGTTCGTCGTTAGAACAGCAAATTAGAGGTCAGAATTTTCCACAGATATGCTCGTTTACAAAAAACAAGCCAATCGTCTGTTGTTCGCCTACAGATACGATCAACGCAACAAACTTCAAGCCGGCCTTAAACACCACCGAAGCTACATCATCATACTCTGCCACTGAAAGTACGTTACGTATCGGTATCGCACAAAATTCGTATCTAAACAGCTTTTCATAGATTATAATCTGTTTTCGTGACCGCTGTGCAGTGTGTCGCCAATACTCGGAACTGGTGTACGTTAACGGACAACAACCCTCGTCTGGTGAGGGAAAGAAAACTCTTAACTGCTACAACGTGTTGACTTTGATCGTTGGGGGCACTAAGGCCAAACCAAAGGAATTTCCTCACATGGTATGATAATAATAATTATAATATTGTGCCATAGATATTAAAAACYAGGGAAAAAAGCCTAAACGAAAATTGACCAACATTTAAACTTTGCCATCCACAGGCACTATTAGGTTACGGAGACATCGYGGATGAGCAGAAGTTGTGGGGCTGTGGAGGTTCGTTGATAAGCGACAGGTGGATCCTGAGCGCGGCACACTGCACCATTAATTCTGGGTGAGTACCGTGTTCAGTTTTGTTTTAATTACGATCATTTTTTAAAACATCCATCCGCGAAGACGCACCGTGAGCTGGGCACGCCTTGGTGATTTGAATATCTATTCGGAACCCGACGACGCGAGTCCGGTCGACTACAAAATCGTGGAGCGCGTRGTGCACCCCAACTACAATTCAACTTACGTGTACAATGACATAGCGCTGTACCGTTTGGAGAAGGAAGTCAAGTTTTCGGCGTACGTGCGACCTGTGTGCCTAAACACGGTCCAAAATTTAAACTTCAAGGTGGCCACGGCCATTGGCTGGGGACGAACCTCGACCAGTGAGTTTTAATCTTTAATATGCTACCTACGTTCCTTTCGTTTGACCAGCGTGGGCGACTGAGATTTAAGATTGTTTGATGTGGTTCGATAATACTACCAACGCTCACCACAAAAAAAATTCATGTGATCCATCATCGTAAATAATAATTAGACAATAGACATAAATAAATAACATTTTCAAATCGTCTAATCCCTCTATTTACTTAACCTATTATCATAATCATATAGACTACATATGGTCCTTAATACACAAAGTTATATAAGTGAAAATCTAATTGCTTGAGTTTTGACTTAGATATGAAAAACTTCACAAAAAAAAAAAAAAAAAATATTTGCTTTATAATCAAAAATAAAAGAAGGAGTTCCTATTTAAAAAAACAGGAGTTAGTATTGCCATAGGATTCATACTAAAATTCAAGTTTTTGAAAATATTGTGTCTAAAAATTATAAAAATCAGAATTTTAATATAATATGCTTAATTAAGGTAATAAGGTATAAAAATGGGACGAGCATGCACAAAAAATCACCTAGTATATATCGATGAAATTATGCGCGTTTAATGAATGCACTTAACAAAGCCGCCTTTAGACTTATGGTAAACACTTCCGTGTGGTGACATGGAGTTTCAATCAATTCTGTGGCGAAAGTGCCTCGATGCCTACCGCAGGGCCAGATTTGACGGAGAGTTTTCTGGAACCACCCTAAAATATTTATCTATATAAATCTATGTTTATCTAATATACCTAACACACAACTTTCTATCGCTATATGTCGTCTGTGCAGATGGTCCGATTAGTCCCGACCTGTTGAAAGTGGAGCTGTCGCCAATATCGATTGGCCATTGTAAGTATAGTTATCCTCAGAGTTCCAATCCGAGAATAAACTTTGGGATTATGGAAGACAGCATGATATGTGCAGGCGACATCAGGAACGGTAGCGACACGTGTACGGTGAGCAAACGATAATAATAATTAATGGACGACTTGATTCGATAAGTTTTCCCTACAGTAGCTTATATAAGATATAAATGTATAATACAATATGTAATGTATGCACCAGGGTGATTCTGGCGGCCCACTTCAAGTAAACCACCCCAACTACGCATGTATGTCTAGCCAAATTGGTATAACGTCGTTTGGTAAATATTGCGGCAATAGGGACACGCCAGCTATCTATACCAGAGTGTCTAATTATGTTCCGTGGATCGAACGGATCGTTTGGCCGAAAAGTTGAACGTCCAAAAGTCCCGTCAGTCAAAATAATCAATTTTTTTTTATATAAAAAAAATATGTATATATATATTATGTTTGATATATCTTGTGGCGTATGATGCGTGCGATAATTAAGTAACACTAATTAATGGTACTTAACTCAACATAATATCATGTCGTATACTTATGTTATATTGATAGTTAGCTGACTACAATAAATTTAATTAATTAATTAAACAATTATATTATTACAATGTATCACATTTTTACATTATGAAAAAATAAAGAGATAGAAAATATCATAGTTATATTATATACCATACAGGTACATTTAATACATACATATATATTTTTTAAATTAAATAAAGAATTAACTGCTACAATTGATCATAATATGCATTTGTATTAACCCAAAATCATTAAATAAATGCACGTATAAAAACGATAAAATGTGATAAATGTGAACAAAGTTACCTATAATCAGTAGGTAACTATTTAATTTTGATTATAGTTCCCTAAAATGTATAAGACGTATAAGCTTTTAAAAAGTATAGAAACTTAGATATAATACATAGTAGTAAATAATTAATAATTTTGTTGAAATATCATATAATGGGAATATAATATAGTATTATAATTATGATTATTTACAGAGTTTAGATTAAATATATAATGTGTAAAAAAGCTAATGGCGGTCTCGCGGTCTATGTTGCCGAAACTATAATGTTCAATAAAAAAAAAATAATGTATGGTGGGTCCCAAAATTTATATTTAATTTTACATATAGGTACCAAAAACCTTTAATACGAGTAGTTCCGTTGAAAAACAGATTATAAAATATTGAAAGTGATGTTCATATAACATCTGAGGAAAACAAATTTAAGGAAAACGGTAATTCTTACGCAATATCGATTTTTTTTGGTCTTGGTGTAAATTAAAAAAATATAATTAAATGTTTATATTAGCATTTTCTATAAATAAACTATAACATTTTCAAAATATTTTGAATTATGTGTTATGTTAAACATTTATAGCATTTATTCATGTTAAACTATTTATAGGCATGTGGAAATTTTCGATTTTTATTAGTTTTCTTAAAATTAATTTCGATAATTTTTTTTGAGGTATACCTGAAGTTTGAATTTTTATAAAATTTGTTTAAATCACGAAAATTTKAAAATTATTTTGGGTTTGAAATTTATATAACATTTTTGTTTTAAATTTAAGATTTGAAAATGTAATACATGATTTCTCATAACCTTGTCTTTATAAAGATATCCTTTTCAAAAAATATCCACTAGAAAGTCAAATTAAATTTTTATGAACGTTAGATGTTAAGTTATTATAACTTTAAAATATTCATTCGATTTCTCATTAAACGATTTTCTTATCATGTTGTTATTTAAAAGAAACCGAAAACACTTAAAATCTACAAACTATTTTGATTCATGTTGAGCTGTTTATGGGCATTTTCAATTTTCAATTTTTAGTTTTTTTTCTCTAAGAAAATATCTATAAAATTTTGTTAGTAGGGTCAAAGAGTTTGACAATCTAACAAGAGACTCCTCGTCTCCTCATAAATTGTTGCAAAAGTAGTTGAAACATATTATATTAAAAATACATTGGTACAAGTTTTTTTTATAAGTATTTAAAAAAAAATGTTGACAACATTTATTACATTCAAAATGTATTAATCATTTTTTAGTTAAAAATACATCAAATGTTCAAATAGCTAAGGATTGATTATGTAACCAATATATTTTAAGTTAAAATTTAAACTAAATTAAATATTTAAACCAAGAAAAACAATTTGGACAAAAAGTTTCAAGTACTGTTTGTCTGTTTATACACGAATATCAAATTGTATTATTTCATGAATTGTAAGTATCGTCTGGCCATAATCATAAAGGTTATTTATGACATAAATGAAAATCTAATTGACTTATAAATATTAAATCACTGATTTGAGCTAAATATTATAAATTTATATTTTAAACTCAATATCCTCCTACTTTTCAATCTCTGCCGGTGTTCCACAAGGAAGTGACTTATCACCCGATTTATTYAACMTATATACATCAGATATTCCAAAAACAGCAAACACAACCATAGCAACTTATGCAGATGATACAGCTATACTCTYCTCCAACTCAGACCCTATTTTATCCTCAAACTATCTCCAAAATCACCTCAATTTAATATAAACACTTGGGCAACCAAGTGGAAAATTCTAATAAATCTTCYCAAGTGCCATTTACACTGCGTAAACACAACCTCCCCTCGCTCCAACTCCAAGGAGTCGTGATTCCTTCATTGAATCAGGTAAAATACTTGGGAATTTTACTAGACAAAAGATTGACATGGGGACCTCATCTAAAGTCCAAACGTAAAATCCTTAACCACCGCCTTCATCTACTCAGGCCGATTCTTAAATCCAAACTTTCAATACACACTAAGTCCACATTGTACAAATCTCTACTCAGACCCATCTGGGCGTATGGTATGCAAATCTGGGGATGTGCCAAACCTTCCCAAGTCCGCACTATCCAAGCTGCYCAATCTATCACTCTCCGGCTAATAGCCTCGACCCCGTGGTATGTAACAAATTAAACCCTAYACAATGATTTAAGAATTCCAACAGTTGACCAACTAGCTAAATTATACTATAACAGATTTCACTCCAAACTGCAATACCATCCCAATCCTTTAGTCACTCACCTAGCATCACGTACTCTTCCTGACAACCCACCACGCCGACTTAAAGAAATTGGTGCCGTGACCTATTAAAATTAATGAACAAAAAATAAATTACTAGAGGGTACCATCGCTGGATGATTTCCCTCATCARTCATCATGTGCCTCATGTGTATTTTTATTATGTATATAGCGTTATATCAGTTATCTATTTTACTTATTGTGTCATGTAATACAGATTGTAAATTTTCTAATAAAAAAAAAATAAATAAATAAATATTTTAAACTATATAATATGTTCATAAAGCAAACTTAATTTTTAATTGTTAATAGCTGTTTACCTGTGTATTATGTTAATATTTTTAAGTTTATATACACCAACATTGTCTGTACCTATAATAATACGAGTAGATATAAAACGAAGAACGTAAGTAAATATATTTTATTTTATTTATAACACAATATATTTTTATCTTTTTATTTATCAGCTTTTCATATGCACAATAGCTGAACGATTGATGTAAATAAATATGTCCATCACCCAGCACAAAATATTATTTTAAAACTTAAATTAACTCTGGCCCACAAAAACTAATACGTTAATACAATAAAAATATATGCTTGTTTCGACAACATCCGTTCGATGGACTTTTAAGTATATAATTGAATTAATAATTATGAGGAACCGTAGTTGTGGTATTAATCTATTCACGMGATTTATAAATATCCAATAACCCATTGTTATTTGTTGTTAAATCAAACACGACTTATCGCGACTATCATCCATAATATTTCAATGGGCAGAAAATCCACTTAACAGGACCCATATTAAGTATGTACCAAAAATCAAAACACTTACATATTTTCTCTAAGTTCCAGGCCTAGATCCTATGCATTGTAGTCACAAAAAGGCTACAAGATCCTTAAGATTAATTCAGCTAACCTGATAATGGAACTCACGAGTTCTACAATATTCTTATAACTTATATAGGTATTATATACCAATTTATCAATTTATTTTCGGTGCGTAAAGCTACCCCGAATGCCACCAAAAAAAAATAAAAAAAAAATAGGTATAACAAAGGACACTATATCTAGGGTAAAGTATTTACTTACACATTAATGCATATTCATGAGTGAAGAAATGAGAGGAAGAGTGAAGACTCATAATCAGAAAAAAAAGTTKTTGGTACAATACATCTGTGCGTGGGCTAAATTATCGGTTTCCAAGCTTATTTTCATAAAATCTATAAACTATAATAAATCCACTTTAACATCAAATTCATCATTGAAAAATGAAAAAATATAAAAAATAGAATTAAATAAATGATTCTTGATTTTGAATTTTGACAAATTTGTGTTGAAGTACCTCGCTTTCTGAAAAAATTCGACCGATATTGACAATTCACCTGCAGTGGATTTAATCAGTACCRGATCTAGAGGGGGGCGATCCGGGGCCCATGCCCCGGGCGCTTATCATAGAGGGGCGCAAATTTCAAATTTTAAACTCATCATTTTTATGATTTGRTGACTTTTAGGGGCGCTAATATTATGTTGTGCCTCGGGTTGTATAATTTGTAGATCCGGTACTGGATTTAATGCTTGATAGTTGATATAAATCTAAAGTAGTTCAAAGTTCAAACGGTAAACGGAAAACTGGTACGGTATTTATAAACGTGGAATACTGGTACTATCCACAATAGTCAAAGTTTCCCAAACTTAGATTTTAGAGTAAGTTATGGTAAGATTTACGCTTTAGCATTTTTACCCCTTATTGAAGTAATAGAATGAATAGATATAATGGTTTATTTATATACAACGACACCTGTACAATTGTTACCATTACTAAATTATTTTGACGAAACTTATGTTACCTAGTGTGAAGTCTTGGAGACCAATATTTTGTCCCCGCTTTTGGAATGTGCATGAAATTACTTTAAATTATGGCAACAGAACAAATAATGTTTGTGAAGGTTGTAATAGCTATTTGAATAAGCTTGTAAATAATCCATATTTTTGGTTAGTAGTAATAGTAGTTAAATGTATCTAACAAGATGAAGCGACAACGCAGATTGAAAGAACACACAATACAAATAATACCTTAATGCCTAAAAGTTCAAAAAAACAAAATAGTTTGCAAGACAAATTACATAATGAATGTGAAAKCTATTTGAATAAAGAGATTAATTTAGGACAATTTTTAAATCATATAGCTAAGTGTACGAAATAGTCGTTTATATTTATTAATTATTGTTTTATTTATCAATTATTTTGTATGAACTTATTTGTGTGTTTTGTTAATTTTTATTTTTAACATTATTTTTTTTGTTTTCAACGTATTATTTAAATTTAACTTGTTGACGATGGTTATTTATCAAAACTAT